TTTTCCCAGCCTCAGGCCTGACAACGGATGCAACAGAACACCCTAGTTTCACCGCAGGGGTCTCTAGGGAACTGGCGGCCCATCAGCTGGGTAGCATCAGTAAGGGCGGAAAATGGTCCACCCTGACAGGACAGCATCCTCTGCCAGGGTCCGGGGCCCACACCACGCCCCACATACCCACAGGCTCTCTTGCTGAGGAGGAGGGGGAGGGCATATTTTAACCCAAATATACTAAACAGCTACCTAAAGGGACTTTTAAAATTGATTAGAACGATTTTACCAGATTAGACCAAAATTATGGTGCTTCTTTTCCTTCTTTCTGGCTATTGCAGCAGCATGGAGTTTCATGTAGAGACTCAGAGAAAAATAAAGCTATATTTTTTCTTTACATGTCTAAGTATGGTGTGAGTTTAATTTCAATAATCCTCTACAACTCTTTTAAAAACAGCACGTTAACCATCCTGTAATTGGTAGAAAATAGTTTTACGTATTCAAGGTTCATGGACTTGGCTGTTTGGAGCGCCCCTTGCCCACCCCTGGCAAGCTGGGAGCTGCAATGGTGGCTGAATTGAAATAGTGAAGCTTCCTCGCAGCCTAAATGTTCAACCGAATCAGTGTCAGAGAAGAACGTCCCACTAGTCCTGAAGGAATTATTAAGCTGCGTTTCCCCACAGTTCCTTCAGTATTCCTACTCAGGCCCACCCTCCCCATAAAAGAGTTAGAAAAAAGTTCATTCTAGGTGGTTTGGTTTGGCTTTCCGTTTGCACGAGACACCAGGACTGTTATTTCTTTTTCCAAGATAGAACACCCTTGACTTCTTTCAAATTATCTACTCAGTTTGGATATGAAAGTTATTTTGTATAGAATAGGAATTTCGTTTCCTTAAACTAGCCTAACAACCTGCTGCAGCTCCATTTCTGTTCCTGCTTTAAACATTTTTTTTTTCTAAATGGAAAAAAAAAATCCACTTTTATTTTTTCTTTTTAAAAATGCATTTGTACAAAACAGGCTGTGTTAACATAGAGACATTAAGTGGTTTCCTCACAGTTTCAAAGAAGACAGCAAATTAGAGGGGCTTAATGGAGAGCCACAGAGGCAGACCCTAATAGCCAAGTACCAAAAAGGTTATTAAAAGGACCACGAGACTGGGTTTTCAGCTCATGAGGGGTCAACCTAAGGCAGTGAATCAAGCAGACTTTAGAGGGCATTTCAGTAGAACGGATAAAAAGGAACGGGTAACACAGCAGGATGGATAGGACTAAGAATGGCAAAGCAGTCAGCATTAATGTAATGGCTGGGTGGAGAGCCGGGGGAGAGAAAGAGCAATCAGGGGGATCGCTTCATAAACTATATGTCTAACCAAAGTACTGTATACTTGAAATTAATAAAAAAAATTTTAAAAATGACAAAAAAATGGAAAAATTTTTGACCACAAAGCAAAAACAGTTAAGTTACTAAAAAAGAAAGACTGACGGGCTGCAGACATCGTGGGAGTTTTGCCGTCTACAAGGTAGGACTTGGGCTCCCCCTGGAGGGGTGGGTAGAATTTGACTAGACAGAAAAGAGGCAGAGGTCAGAGCAGAGCATTACATGAGCATGAGAGAATAAATGGATGTGGGATGGGGTGGAAAAAATGGAGCTCACCAGATTAGGGCAGAAGTTATGAC